TATCTCTTTTTGAGTCATGGTTTTGTCTGGATATATGCCCAGTAGTGGGATTGCTGGATCATATGATAATTCTATTTTTAGTTTTCTGAGGAGCCTCCATACTGTTTTCCACAACGGCTGCACCAACTTAGATTCCCATCAATAGTGTAGGAGGGTTCCCTTTTCTCCTTCTCGCCAGCATTTATTATTTGTAGACTTTCTAAGATGGCCATTCTGATTGGTGTAAGGTGATACCTTATTGTAGTTTTGATTTGCATTTCTCTCATAATTAGTGATGTGGAGCATCTTTTCATATGTCTATTGGCCATCTGTATTTCTTCTTTGGAGAAATGTCTCCTTAGGTCTTCTGCCCGTTCAAAAGGCCTTTTTAGTCAGATATAGGTTCTTCCAAAATTAGAGCATCTCCTTTCCAATTGGCCATGGAAAAAAGTAACTGGACATGGTGGCTTCAGCTATAATGCAACTGGACTGGTTTTCTCTCTCCTGTGTGGCCACCAGTGACAGGACACTACAGAACAGGAGGGACCGGCCTGGAGCTTGAAGGGGAGGTATGAGTGGTGTACTATCACCCTCTTCCTAGGCTTCAGGGACAGCTCAGCTCATGGGGGTAGAAAAACTCTGAACAAAGGGAGATTTGCAGATCTGGCTTCTGTGCCCTTGAGAGAGCTCTTTTCCACCAGCACTGTTAGCTCCCAGGCTGCCTGGCTTATTGCAGGTGCTTCCTGCAGCTGACCATTGTCACCAGCTCTCAAATGTTCCCTTGCAGAGTGGAACAATTGGGAAGACCAATCGCCTGCTAGCACCCTGAGGCCCCCTCTTAAACCTGATGGGACCTAAACCTGCCCTCTGAGCCCCAAATAAACAAACCAGAAAACAAACTAATGGTGTCTCCTGAACCTTGGCATAGCCCTATTCCTGCATGTTTAGACATAGTTGACCCATCCTCACACCACCTTGAGTACATCTAATCCTGTTGTTGTAGCGATAGGACCTATCTACAGTATTTATCAAAGATCTCTTTTGCCTTTGGAATCACTGTTCTTGATTTCTCAGTCTTTGATCCTGTGTTAGCCTCTGACATCTGCTCTGTCTTTTGCAAATGGTTTGGATTCTCTTTTCACCTCTTGGCTTGGCACTTCCCTCGATGTTAAAGTCAGTCCCAGAGAACTTCTACCATATGCCCCCATTAACCCCTCTTCCAAGGAAGGAGGTACACAGGCCATGAGATGACCTCTGTGGAAGACAGAGACTGGCAATTCACCTGAAACCTGACAAGTGGCATGCCCTTCCACTCGCCTTGGCCAGGTTAATAGGAAATAATGGAGAGATGGTGAAACGGGGACTTGGGACTCTCAATTCCCGGCAAGTTGGTTTAACTCACTTTGTCATAAAGGGACACATTAAAAAAAATAACATAACTAACTGTCTGTCAGGCCAGATGAATTGAGTCAGCTCCACTGATCAGTTCTATTTGACTGACAAACAGGCTTTGTTTCTACTATGGTATATTGCCTCCCATGGAATATTGTCAGAAATGCTTAGCAAACATTATGTGTTCAGGAAAAGAAAGCTCAAACGACTTAAGTTGTAACACAGCTCCTGAGAGGTAGAACTTATCCCTAGGTTTTCTGACATCCACCCAGCTCAGCGAGTCACAGTGTAAAGTTTAAAAGACCACGAGATGTTTGAGCCCTACCCCTAGGAACTAGAGATCTTCACATCTTGTTGTTCTCCACTGGATAGAGGCACTTCTGAGGTCTTACCTTCTAAAGACAATGGAAATGCTCACTTTTTAGAAGGAGACAAGACAGCAAGAGAGCTGGTTCTTACAAAGGACAATACATACTCATTTCCTCACTCAGTAAATATGTATTGAGCAATGACCATGGGCTGGGCACAGGGCTAAGCACTGGGGACACAGTAACAAAGAAATAAGATAGACGTTGTCTTTGGTCTCATAGGTCTTAAAGACTAAAAAGGATCTTATTGATCTAAAATTATTCTTCTGCCATAAAACTGTTTTGATTTCATTTATTCACACAATCAAGAAATATTTATTGACAACATACTACATTTCATGTTTTGTGCTAAAAGAAGGAAATAAAATGGTGAGCAAAGCCAGATATGATTCCTGCCTTCATGGAGCTTACAGTATAATGAGGAAGATACTAAATAATTACATGCATACAGGGAGCTGTTTAATTTAGTTCAGTCACTCAGTTGTGTCTGACTCTTTGTGACCCTATGAACCGCAGCATGCTAGGCCTCCCTGTCCATCACCAACTCCTGGAGTTTACTCAAACCCATGTCCATGGAGTCGGTGATGCCATCCAACCATCTCATCCTCTCTCATCTCCTTCTCCTCCTGCCGTCAATTTTTCCCAGCATCAGGGTCTTTTCAAATGAGTCATCTCTTCGCATCAGGTGGCCAAAGTATTGGAGTTTCAGCTTTAGCATCAGTCCATCCAACGAACACCCAGGACCGATCTCCTTTAGGATGGACTGGTTGGATCTCCTTGCAATTCAAGGGACTCTCAAGAGTCTTCTCCAACACCACAGTTCAAAAGCATCAATGCTTCAGTGCTCAGCTTTATTTACAGTCCAACTCTCACATCCAAAAATGACTACTGGAAAAACCATAGCCTTGACTAGATGGACCTTTGTAGGCAAAGTAATGTCTCTGCTTTTTAATATGCCATCTAGGTTGGTCATAACTTTCCTTCCAAGGAGTAAGTGTCTTTTAATTTCATGGCTGCCGTCACCGTCTGCAGTGATTTTGGAGCCCAGAAAAATAAACTCAGCCACTGTTTCCACTGTTTCCCTATCTATTTTCCATGAAGTGATGGGACCAGATGCCATGATCTTCGTTTTCTGAATGTTGAGCTTTAAGCCAACTTTTTCACTCTCCTCTTTCACTTTTACCAAGAGGCTCTTTAGTTGCTTTTCACTTTCTGCCATAAGGGTGGTGTCATCTGCATATCTGAGGTTATTGATATTTCTCTTGGCAATCTTGATTCCAGCTTGTGCTTCCTCCAGCCCAGCATTTCTCATGATGTACTCTGCATATAAGTTAAATAAGCAGGGTGACAATATACAGCCTTGACGTACTCNACACCATTGTGATTATCTGGGTCATGAAGGTCTTTTTGTACTGTTTTCTGTGTATTCTTGCCACCTCTTCTTAATATCTTCTGCTTCTGTTAGGTCCATACCATTTCTGTCCTTTATTGAGCCCATCTTTGCATGAAATATTCCCTTGGTTTCTCTAATTTTCTTGAAGTGATTTCTAGTCTTTCCCATTTTATTGTTTTCCTCTATTTCTTTGCATTGATCGCTGAGGAAGGCTTTCTTATCTCTCATTGCTATTCTTTGGAACTTTGCATTCAGATGCTTATATCTTTCCTTTTCTCCTTTGCTTTTCGCTTCTCTTCTTTTCGCTGCTATTTGTAAGGCCTCCTCAGAGAGCCATTTTGCTTTTTTTTTGCATTTCTTTTTCTTGGGGATGGTCTTGATCCCTGTCTCCTGTACAATGTCATGAACCTCCTTCCATAATTCACCAGGCACTCTATCAGATCTAGTCCCTTAAATCTGTTTCTCACTTCCACTGTATAATCATAAGGGATTTGATTTAGGTCATACATGAACGGTCTAGTGGTTTTCCCCACTTTCTTCAATTTCAGTCTTAATTTGGCAATAATAAGGAGTTCATGATCTGAGCCATGACATCTTACAATTAGAGGAAACTGGATTCATTAGATTAGGAGGTTCTTGCTTGAGGAAGTTCCACTTAAGCTTAGACTTGAAGGAGAAACAGGAGTTAAAACAAGGCAGTGAGGGGAAGGAATAACATTCTAGACAACTCAGCAAGGGAAAAGATCCTCTGCAGAAGGAAAGATGGTGAGCAGGAAGGACTTTGAAAGGTCAGTGTGACTGGAGAATTGGGAATAAGGAGTGCCCTGGTCTCAAGTGGGCCTAAGTGGCTGGCAGGAGCAGGCCAGCCAGGTACTGCACTTTCCCAGTTGGTCTCTAGGTTAACAGACAGGGTACTGCAGCAACTCCATGTTGGAGATGCGGAGCTCTGAAGCAGACAGGCTCCTTGCAGCAGCACGCAGGAAGAAGACTAGATGCTCACTAGGATCTGCTCTAAAACCAAGGCTCTACCTCATCCCCCACAGGGTGACATGGAGAGAGGAATACTTTTCTAAACCTTCCTTTCCAGAGTGCCATAAGCAATAGGTTGTTTTGGGAGCCCACTAAATTAGATTTAAGCCCTTCATCTGTTTACCTATAAGTTCTTTAGCTAATAAGTGGGAATAAAAATACTTTCTTTTCAGGATTCTTGTGAGAACCAAATGAGATAGTGTATTAAAGCACTTAACACAGTCCTTGGCTCATGGCAGGTATTCAAGAAATAATAGCTATTATTTTTCTTAGTCTGTTAAATGGAGACAGTGGCTACCTCACATGGTTATGATGATCTGTGATTAGATCACAGTACGTGTAAGCATGAGGCTAGGCCTCCTCTGTGCAGTCCTATTTCTAGTCAGAAGAGCCAGGAGCCTCCTTTTTTCAGAGCCTGTTCTAATGCTCCCTGCGCAAGCTGGGCCATTGCCTTCATGAAGCATAAATGATGACCCTCGTGCAGTCTTTTAATGCATGTCAATGTATGACAAAAACCACTACAATATTGTAAAGTAATTAGCCTCCAACTAATAAAAATAAATGGAAAAAAAAAGCAGTCTCTTTTCTCACGTTTCCAAGTTTATGGTTATCTTTCCATTTATTAATCTGTGTCCCAATACCTGGCAGGGAAGCCCTGCATAAGAAGGCACACCCATCACACCCAGTCGGGTGTGGGCCCTGCCTCTCAGCCTCAGGCAATCTGCCCAAAGAACCTGAGGCGCGGCATCGCGGGACCGGCCAATCAGAAGAAGTTTGGCCCTCTGCAGTTTCCGTCCGCTCACTAGGAGGCGCTGCGGCCGCCGCCGCGGCTCCCAGAGCTGTCGCGGGCCGGGGCGGTTGGGCTGGCTGCTGATTCTCGTGGCCATGGAGTGGGGTTCGGAGTCGGGGGCCGTGAGGCGGCACCGCATCGGAGGGGAGCGCCGGGACGGCCCGGCGGCCGCGCAGCAGCCGGAGAGGGAGGCCCTGGTGCAGGAGCCCCTGGCGGACGCGTGCGGCGGCGGCGGCGGCGGCGCAAGGACGCGGAAGCGGAGCGGGGAGGGGAGCGGTGGCGGCGCGAGCCGGCGCGCGGGGACAGGACTGTCTGAGGCGCGCGCCGCGCTGGGGCTAGCGCTCTACCTGCTCGCGCTGCGGGCGCTTGTGCAGCTCTCGCTGCAGCAGCTCGTGCTCCGCGGGGCCGCTGTCGGCCGCCGGGGAGAGTTCGATGCGCACCAAGCCAGGTAATGCGGCTCTCATCGGGCCGGTGCTTTCCTTTTCGACCCGGGGCACCTCACCTGAGTGTGCCTGCCCCCGCGGGACCGCCCGGGCTCGCCCGCCCTGTCCGGCTGCACGTGGGGTGGTGTGAGCGTGGCCTCGCGCATCCCCTGTCTGGAGGTACAATTTAAGGGACGCGGGGCTCGCGTTGTCCCCTGTTAAGCTCGTGTTGCTGGTAGTCAGGGCGATTACGTCGGCTTTTCCACCCACTTTCTGGTTGTTAGTCGTCCCCCGTCTCTCAGAGCAACTTACACTTTTTACTTGGCTTCCTGCTCTACAAACGAAAAGCTGTGAAATTTGTGAACCCAGTTAGGTTTTCGGGGAGGGTTCGGAAGGGAATAATGCAGTGATCTAAGTTTTTAAGGTCACAGGTCTCAAATCTGAGCGCTATGGAGGCTTTCTGTGGAACACGGCACATTCACAGTTTTACAGTTTCAGAACTTCTGAGATTCCTGGAGCTTGTCCTTCTGTGTCAGGTTTTTTTGTTTGTTTGTTTTAATTAAAAACAAGTTTTAACTAAAACTTTGCTCATTGTTTTCTTTTAAGTATGCCAGAAAACGTGAATTAAGTCAGAGGTAGTGTAAAAACCTAAGTGTAAAAACCAAAGCTCATAAAATCATATGCTTGCAGAGTTTTCAACAACTATTGTGTTTCAAAAAACTTTTAAGTACAAAGCACTGGAAGCTTATTTTTTTAAAGGCTTCCTGAAACACACCTCCACCCCATGCAATGAAAAGACAAAAAAAAAAAATTCTGTTTGTTTTAGGGGTAGAGTTGGTTTACCCTGATTGAAGTTACTAGGCCCTCTGTGCACACTGGCAAGACTGAGTCCATTCTTCAAAATCAAAAGTTTTTCTTTGCTTATTTAACCTCTTGACTAAATTGTCTTTGCTTATTGGTTTCTGCTGCTTAGAATCAGTAACCCAGAGTCAGTAACCCTCCAGAGTATGACAAAATAAAGTTGTATGCTTTCCCATCTAGCCATCGGCAGTTACCCATTTTGAATAAACTCCCTGGTCCTTGTATTGATTCTGTGTGGGTGTTGGGAGAAGTTGGGAGTGGTGTGGGTGGAGAAAACTGAAGGGATGAATTCATGGAAGGCAAAAAAAGTGATGGAACTTAGCAAGTGATTTTCACATGTTACCTGAAATACTAAAGGCAGCCTTTTTTGTGTGAGAAGAACTTGTTTTATGTCAAAGAACTTGTCTTTTGGGTAGGGGGAGTGTGGAGGGAAAGTTGCTCTAAGTGTTAGTTTTCAGCCAGCACGCCCTGTCATCATGCTTCTTTTCGTTGCTTCCAGGGATTATCTTGAACATATAACATCCATTGGCCCCAGGACTACAGGAAGTCCAGAAAATGAAATTCTGACAGTACATTACCTTTTGGAACAGATTAAACTGATTGAAGTTCAAAGCAACAGCCTTCACAAGATTTCAGTAGATGTACAACGGCCCACAGGCTCCTTTAGCATTGACTTCTTGGGAGGGTTTACAAGCTACTATGACAACATTACCAATGTTGTGGTAAAGCTGGAACCCAGAGATGGAGCCCAGCATGCTGTCCTGGCTAACTGTCATTTTGACTCAGTGGCAAACTCACCAGGTATGTGCCTGTTTTTTGGTCATTTTGAGGTCCTCATAGCCCAAAAAGTTGGTTAACTCCAAACTGCTTGAGCAATTCTGGGACACCATTTTCTGAGACAAACCCTTTTTTTCATTGTGGTGGAAGACAGGATAATTAGAATAGTATAATTTTGTTTAAGATTCTACCTTATAGTATTCTCTCAAGTGCTTTATTTACTTAATATTTAAACATTAGTGCCAGCAGCCCAGCTACAGGGTATCGAGTGTTTCTACCAGACTGAAATAGCCTTACCATTGTTACCAGTGTGTGTTCTTGAGTCCTGGAGTTAGGTTCTGCCCCTTCAAGTGTTTACTCAGCTAGGTGTTGTGCTAGGCTCTGGGGATATGGGATTAAGGAACAGTCTTGGCCTTCAAGGGACATGTAATTGGAGACTGATTCTCCTAGCATTTTCTTTTGACCTGTTAAGTGAGAATTTTGGTCCATTGGGGATGCCATATTGTTAGAGCTCTTTGATTATTAATCCATAAATCTTGCCCTGAAAATAGTTTACCAAAATAGAGTACTTGATGTTTAGGACAGGGCCTGAAACAATAAATATTTGTTGAATGAATAGCTCCTAAATTCAACCTCAGTTTTTTAAAGTAAGATTCCTCAGAAAAAGGTTTTCAGTAGCTAGGGAATGTACATAGGGAAGAATAGAAAATAGCATTTTACAGTGAGATGGCGTCTGGTTCAGTCCCCTCATTTAACATAGGTATACACTTAGCTGACCACCACTGATCTTAGACAGGGCCTGGACCTGGGTTTTCTGACTAGTCGGTTCTTTTAGCTGTATTTGAAAGAAAGGGGAGTATTAGGATGTAGTTAATACTCCCTTTGGCAAACTACCTAACCTCTTCTTTCCTCAGTTTCTGATCAGAAAAATAGAGATATAATAGTACTTTCTTAATGGTATTGCTTAGAGGATTAAGTGAGGATTAAATATGAGTGAAACAGTAGACTAGCAACTGGCATGAAAAATCCTTTTTTTGTTATTAGTATTTATTTAATATTAGGTTCTTCCAGAATGTTTAAACTTAAACCAGGCTCAATGTAAACATGCAGAGTTATACAAAGTCTAAAATAAAATTTATGTGCTTGATAAAATTTTTCATACTAGGATATCTTTAGTTGGAAATCTTGCCAGTTGCATTTAGAATGTAACATGCTTTTTAAAAAATCAGCGGGCACTCATGTTTTTTTACAAAGTCAGAAATACCTTTTTGTGTTGGGGAAATTAGTGGTCTTTTATGTCCAATTCAAAGCAGTAATAAGCATCACCCTTTGCTTACTTTTGTGATGCTTAAAATCTAGGAAGGGACAAATTAACACCATGATTATTTAAGAGCATTATATAAGAAAGATGTCTATACAAGTGTCAGAAACAGTGCTAAATGTTAGAAATCATATATGGAGTCCAGGCATAAGGATGGGATCATTTGGTTACTGGAACCCATTTTTAACTAAAATTTTGTAAGGATACCCATGCCAACAATCTCAGGGAAATTTCTGTCATTAATAAATTGTTAAAGATAGTTTTAAAGACATTTTATAAAATAGACTATCACCTAAATTTTTTTTAGTGGATGAACAAATTGAAGTATGAGTATTTTTTAAGAGTACTTCTCAGCAAGATATCTGAAACTTAGGAACTGATACCAGTTAGGAGTAATGTTACCCACAGAGAGGCCTTAAATACCTTGTTGGGTTTGCATAGTTCCAGGCTGTTATTCTGGAGGTGGCTGCAGTTTCAATGTTAATTCTAAATGGAAAGGGATGTTGGTTAAGCATCCAGCCCTTTTGATACTGTCCTCTAACTTTCCTTGTCTTTCTTAAAGACGTCTGACCCTTCTCTAGGTTTGTTCTTAGACACCAGAGCTATTAAAATAGATGATAAAAGTACAGTTTAACTTTTAATCCACCCTATAGAGATATGTATCTTTCAACTTCCATTTGTCTTCCTTTGAATAAAGAAAACTTTTACTGCTTTTTATTTTAAAGTAACTCACAGTCTCAAAGTTAAAGACCATTTATTTCATTTGGTTCTTGAAAGATGGCACTTTTTATCGATAGCTACATGTACTTCCTGCTCGATAGTAATGAGGTAATTATTACTTTGTTTCACTTTGATTAAATTACTGTCCAGTAATCACTACTAAGACAAGCATAGCTAACAGGTAGTTTCTTCTCAAGCAGGAATGCCGTCTTGAATTGAATAACACCAAAACAAACACTTTAGCTGGCTGCAAAGCAGCCCATAAATGTGTAGAGAAAAGAAGGGAAAACTGACACTGAATGCCTACCACACACACACTGGACACTCTACATTGCTTTGTCATCCTCACAGCACATCTGGGAGTAGGTGTCATTAATTTGCCCTCCAGTCCAGGAAGGAGAAAAGGGGCAGAGCTAGAATTTACATCCAAGTCTTTCTTACTCCAAAACCTACACTAATCTCTGTAGCACCCTGCCTCCCAGTATGTAAACCCAGAAATGCTGTTGCCTGGGTTATTACTGTGTCTGTTTACTTTGATTATTCTTTAAACTTTTCATTATGGAAAATTTCAAGTGTATACAAAAAGAATAGTTTAATGAACCTGAGTGTTCCTGTCACCCAGCTTCAACATTCAATCTTGTTTTTTCTGTACTCCCCCACCGCCTCCCCTTGACTATTTTGAAGCAGATCTCAGGTATATCAGCTCCTCTGTAGATATTTTGGGCTGTATCATTGAAAGATAAGAACTCTTTTTTTGACATGCTCATAATACCATGAATTACCTCACTGAAAAACTTAGTAGTAATTCCTTAATACCAGCAAATTGGAGTAGGAAATGGCAACCGATTCCTGTATTCTTGCCTGGAAAATCCCATGGATAGAGGAGCCTGGCGGGCTTACAGTCCATGGGGTCACACAGAGTCAGACATGACTGAGCATGCTAACAATATCAGAATATCCAGTTAGTTTCTTTAATTACCTATTATGGTACTTTTAAAAGTGTCTAAGTACAAAAGTCACCCTTATAGTCACCTTTGCTTAATAGCTAAAGTTTCTGAATCAAGAGGTTGAGTGATTTGATAAGGTCCTCTGTTTTATCAATTCTTAGACCAGGGATATTATTAATACTTTGGTCATTAATCCCCTTTCCTTTCTTATTAGGTGTCTTCTTTGTATTTTTCCATCACACGATCCCCTTGGAGAAACTTTTAAAATATTGCTACATTATCCAAACTGACCCCTCTAAATGTGGAGTGATCTGCAGCTTTTATGATTTTGGCAGAAAAACTAGCAGGAAAGGAGTAGGTGGCAGTTGGAGATGACATAGGAAACCAGAAGTGAAGATACTACAGAGGATGTAGAATAAGGATAAATTAAATTGCTTTTGGTGATGAGCATGGCAGTTTTCAGTATTGCTTTAGGTCCCCTCTAGTTGATTAGTTGACAAATGCTAACTGAGCAACTGCTGTGGGACCAGGCACAGTTGGAGATACTGAGAGTAAGTCAGCGAGCAAACCGAAGATCGCTGTCCTGGGGGTTGCTGCTGGTGGGTGCGGTTCTCACCTGACGACGGCAGAGCTGTGCCGCTGCAGCTGTTGTGATGCCGCTTCCATTTCTTGCCATGATGGTTTGTGCTGTAAAGGTTTTAAAATCTGAGAAGCAAATCTGTTTTTCTGATTTAAAGGTGCCAGCGATGACGCAGTTAGCTGTTCAGTGATGCTGGAAGTCCTTCGTGTCTTGTCGACATCTTCAGAAGCCTTATATCATGCGGTCATATTTCTCTTTAATGGTGCTGAGGAGAACGTCTTGCAAGTGAGCTTTCACTATTTTAAAGACTAGGCTTGAGTAATAGTGACAATGAGAATAATAATAATAGCTAACACATGGGTTTTGATGGAGTAGTAGAAAATGACATGCGAAAGAAATACCGTACAGGCAGTGCTTAAAAAAAAATCGATAGCCACTTATGTATGCATGCTTAATTTTGGAAACTTAGGACAGATCATCTTGTCAGTGTTTTATTCATTAAAGGGCTCTCTGGCATAATTATTTGCCTCAGGTTTTCTAGAGTTTCAGAGATGCTTTGAGGCAGGCACATGTCATGAGTGCCCAACCATAGGAATAGTGCCTTCTTTTGTTTTGCGTTTTCTTTTGCATAGGCTCACACTTACTAAAGATGCTATTTGGCTTCACTTATGGAAATGAGGCCGCCTTCTGTGATGAGTGACTTTCCACTGAGCAAATTGCACACGGCCATTAGGCAGAGGGAGAGCAACAGAGGATGTCTTTAGATCCTGCCTTTGAAAAAAATGATTGTTCTATTTTTTTCTTTTTCTTTGCCTCATCAGCATAGACGTTCCATCTTTTAAAACAGCAAAATAAAGACTTCAATAATGTAAGATGGTTTAACCAATATTTGTTTTCTTCTCATTCAGGCCAGTCATGGTTTTATTACCCAGCACCCCTGGGCCAGCTTGATCCGTGCTTTTATTAACTTGGAGGCAGCAGGTGTAGGAGGGAAAGAACTTGTATTCCAAACAGGTATGTGAGGCTATGCATTGTATATTATAATCCAATTTTTGTTTTTATAAAAGCGAAAACTTTCTGAATGTAAATAATCTAATGACATGAACATTCTTTTTAAAGCATGAGATAGTTTTAGCTTGTCTTTTTAAAGTTTTAAACAAAATAATATTTAATGTTGTAAAAATCTGGTAAATCATATTAGAGTTCAGAGCTCAGATTTGTTTAGTTAGGAGATATTGAAATCTGCTGTTGGTGGTTTCATGCTATTATTTTTCCGCTCTGTTAGAAATGTGTGTAATGGATTTTAGCCAGAGATGTCACATTTCTTAGAAACTTAATAATGAACAGTATCTTTAGGCATGAAGTGGGCTAGGGGAAGTGAATAAGGTGAGATGGGAACTTTTTTATATTTTTAGCACCTTTCACAGACATGGTATTGTTTACATTATAAAGATATGCTAAGTGTGTCTTCATAACCTAAAGAATACACATTTTAATATTCTCCGTCCAACTTACTTTAGACTTTTTCCACTCAAATGTATATTTTGACTTTAGTTAAACCTTTGAGGATCTTAAAGTTGCGTGGTCAGAAGCAAGGTTCTCCCTTCTTTTCAACTCATAGCTTTCTGCTTACTCTTCATCTGAATAGTGAGAAGAAGTTGGTATGTAATGTCTGTGGGGGTAAATGGATGACTCACTATTAACCATTTCCCTCTAATTCTTGGATGTTGGTCAGGATAGGAGAAACACTTGATTATAATAACCACCAGATCAAAAAGCAGCAGGAGAACATTCTGTAAGCAGAGAGGACTGTGTGTTTCTTTTCTCTGAAAATATCTGGACCACACATGAGCAAGAAGAGTGTGTCTTTTTATATTTTCTCTCCTGGAAGTAAACTATAATTTAATCCATGCTTTAGTTAGTTATTTTTGGCTGTGGTGGGCCTTCATTGATGCATGCAGGCGAGAGGGGCTACTCTTCATTGCTGTGCATGGGCTTCTCATTGTTTTGGCTTCTCATTGCAGAGCACAGGCCCTAGGCAAATGGGCCTCAGTAGTTGCAGCATGCGAGCTCCGTAGTTGTGGCTCATGGGCTTAGTTGCTCCACGGCGTGTGAAATCTTCCCACACCAAGGAGCAAACCTGTGTCCCTTGTGTCGGCAGGTGGATGCTTACCCACTGTGCCACCGGGGAAGTGCCACATGCATTCTTTTTGTCATCACAGGACCCTGCCCTGAGCTTCTGTAACCCAGAGAAGAACCAGTTTTAAGGTTTAGTCTGTGCCTTTCCTGAATTTTTTCTGTGCATATGTATTAATGCATGCATACATATTCTGTGTGTATATATTAATATATCTTTCATACATATAATCCAGAGAAGTTCAAACACATTTACCTAACTCCTGGGTATATATCCAAAAAAACCCCCCAAACCCCATTAATTCAGATATACATGCACTGCAATGTTTCTAGCAGCATTATTTACAATTGCCAAGATATGGAAGCAAACTGTGTCATCAACAGATGAATGTATAAGAGAGTGTGTGTGTGTGTATGTATGTGTATGTACAGTGAAATACTATTCAGCCATACAGAAGAATGAAATTTTGCCATTTGCAGCACTGTGGATGGACTTGGAGGATATTATGCAAAGTGAAATAAGACAAAGACAGATACTTACTGTATGATATCACTTATATGTGAAATCTGAAAAATACAACAAACTAGTGAATATAACGAAAAAGGAGCAGACTCACAGGACAAAACTAGCAGTTACCAGTGGAGGGGGAGGGGCACTCCAGAGGTGAGGGAGGACGAGGTACAAACTATTGAGTGTAAAACAGGCTCAGGGATGCATTGTACAACATGGGGAATCTAGTCCATACTTTGCAGTAACTTAGATGCAGTAACCTTTAAAAATTGTGTTAAAAGTTTTTTAAAAAGAAACACATTTACCTAGGGCTAGGGAGGCCAAGACACAAGTCGTGTCATTTATTTCTTTACATTTATTGAGTACTCACTTTACCGGTTTAATTTATAGTCCATGCTCTTTTTACTAAATGCAGACAGTTAAGCTCAAGAATCCTACAGTTTACATTTTTAGATATATTGGCATTATTTAGAAGGATATAAACAAACTGTTAATAACATTCACCACTGGATGGTGGGCATTGTTGATGGAGCTGTGGTGTGAGTGACTAGAGGGGAGGATGGGACAGACTGTGAAAAGCCAATTTGAATTTTCCATTGCTTCATAAACTTAAAACCAGAATTGCCATTGCAGCTTTACTTATACTCTTTATAGTTTTCTGTACTGTTTACATTTTTGCATTTCATATGGGCTTCCCTGGTAGCTCAGCTGGTAAAGAATCTGCTTGCTATGCAGGAGACCCTGGTTCGATTCCTGGGTCGGGAAGTTCTCCTGGAGAAGGGATAGGCTACTCACTCCAGTATTCTTGCCTGGGAAATCGCATGGACAGAGAGGCCTAGTAGGCTACAGTCCATGGGGTCACAAAGAGTTGGACACAACTGAGTGACCTCACTCACTCACCCACTCCAGTATTCTTGAGGTTCCCTGGTGATTCAGATGGTAAAGAATTCACCTGCAATGTGAGAGACCTGGGTTCGATCACTGGGTTGGGAAGATGCCCTGGTGAAGGGCATGGCAACCCACTCCAGTATTCGTGCCTGGAGAATCCCCATGGACAGAAGAGCCTAGTGGGATATAGCCCATGGGGTTGCAAAGAGTTGGACACAACTGAGTGACTAAGCACAGCACATGATTAATAATAAAATAAAAACAGACTTGTTACTAGTTAGCAATATATATGGCTTAGCAGGTAAAAAATCCACCTACAGTGCAGGAGACACAGGAGACGTGGGTTTGATCCCTGGGTTGGGAAGATTCCCTGGAGTAGGAAATGGTAACCCAGTCCAGTATTCTTGCCTGAAAATCCAATGGACAGAGGAGCAATATATATACAGTCTAAATGTTTTACTTACTCTAGAATAAAATTCCCATATTTCAAAATTAATTTTCTTTGTGAAGGGGCATTCAACAAAAGATTTGTAAAGAATGTTTTTCCCTTTTCTTTGAGTCTTTGTATGCTGTTTCCCCTCTAGATTTTGGTAGTTTAGTCCTGTGGCTAAATGCTGTACCCCAAAGCTTTCTGGGCATCTTCTGATGGTCCAGTACCTTTTTCAGTATATCTCTCACTTCCAAATGTTCTTGCTACAAAACACTGGCTTTCTCATGGGCATTGCTTTCAGAAAGCTAGTTAGTGTTGCTTCCGTGTCTGCAGAGGCAGGCGGAGGCCCCCTGGGTCTGCAGTCTTGGGGAACACTGCCAGACCACTCCGTCCTCAGCTTCTGTAGCAGGCGCTTTTATCCTGCACAGTAGCGTTTGTCCTGCCCGGGAATGTTTCAGTTAAAACAGTTTGTACTCTCCAGTGTCCTGTTGTCACTTCAGAGACACATTCATTAGGGGACTTTTTAGTGACTAGAATAATCACTACTACTTAATTTTTTTTAAAAGGGCCAGAATGCATGAAAGAATGATATAATTTATCAGACTGATGATATATATCATGAGTCAAGTCTTAATTTAATAGTTTTGAAGGTGTTATAAAATTCATTGTTTAAAATTTTAAAGTGATTAAACCAGTAATACATGTTCCTTGTAAAGAAATCACATGCTATCAACCTTGAGTAGAAGAAAGCCCATAAACAACGGGGTCAATGAAATCTTTTTTTTTTTTTTCCTCTTGTGAAAAATATCCATGACCCTGTAATCTTACAACCCAGAGCAAACTATTGCTATAGTTTAGTCTCTATCCTTCTGGGATTTATTTTTTTTTTCTATTCATCTATATATAAATATATACTATATGTAATCTTGAATTTGACTTGAACAAGTCTTTATTGAATTTGTTACAATACAGCTTCTGTTTTATGTTTGATTTTTTGTTTGTGAGGTATGTGGGATCTTAGCACCTTGACCAGGGATCAAACCCGCACCCCCTGCATTGGAAGGTGAAGTCTTCACCACTGGACCACGAGGGAAGTCCCCAGTAGTTTTTAGGTATATTCACAGAGTTGCACAGTCATCACTACAATCAATTTCAGAGTCTTTTCATCTCCCACCCTTTGGGGTGATAACGCCAAAGAGAAACCCCATACTCATGAGTGGCTTCTTTTACTTCTTACAGTATTCTTTGATGTTCATGCATGTTGTAGTGTGTATCAATACTTCATCCTCTTTTAAAAATTATCATTACTGTTATTTTTTTGCCACACCACATGGCTTCCAGGGATCTTAGTTCCCCAACCAGGGATTGAACCTGCACCTTTGGCAATGAAAACGTGGAGTCCTGACCTCTGGACCACAGGGGCATTCCTGAGTACTTCATTTTTTTTTTATGGCTAGATTATATTTCATGTAGGAATATCCTGCATTTCATTGATCCATTCATCAGTTGATGGACATTTGGATTGTTTCCACTTTTATGCCATTGTGAATAATGCTGCTATGAGCATTTGTGTGTAGTTCTCTGGACATGTATTTTTATTTCTTTGGAGTGGATTCCTAAGAATGGAATTACTGGGTTATATGACAAGTTTATGTTCTAACTTTTTGAGAAACTGTTAAACTAAGTTTTATTTTAGAAGAAATGTAAATTCAAACAACAGTAAGAACTTTTTAATAGTTTTGCAAAAGGTAAGTAGAATGATAATGCCCAATTCTAATGAATAGAGAGGAACAGGCGTTTTTATACATTATTGCTAGAAGTATAGATTGGTGTAGTTTTGGGGCAGTTTGGCCATATATATCACTTTAAAAAATGTACAGATCCTTCTTCCAGCAGGTCCCCCTGTAGGAATTTATTCTGTAGAAATAGTTGCACATAGATGCATAGATCTAAGTCCTGCATAGTCTTCTTGTTTTTTTTTCTCTAAGAATGAAAAATTGAAAACACCTTTCAGGTCCATGCGTAAGAGACTGTTTATATTAATGGTGA